GTAATTACAATTAGAATGGAAAGGGGGTGAGGACCCTTCCTGAATTCATATAGCTCTACAAATCGTATCTGCTTTACTTCCTGTTCATACTGCTAGCACTATCCATTAGTCACAAATAGTGGGCAGAGTAAGCTTATATCATGGCATCGTTTGATTCCTTTCTCCCTCCTTATAAAATACATATGCTTAGCAAATATTTGTATCCTGTTCATATAGACCAAAAAAAAAAAAAAAAAAAAAGGACTCTGGGATGAGAACTCTAAAGGGCACCCTGCCCCAAGTAGCTAACAATTTAGAAGTTGTAAGACAAGTCCTTGGCTGCCTTCCCTGAAGGGTGCTGTGTAAGCCAGTGGATCGAAGAAGAACAAGAGGTCATCATGATGGGTTGAGTGGCATAGTGGTTGGCCTGAATAAACTCTTAACTTCTTGTTCCAAAAGCACAACTAGGAGCAGATCCTATTTAAGGGAGCTGGAGTGAAGCTTGGTGTAGTGGATTGAATTATGTCCCCCCATAACTCTGTGAAGTTGAACTGCATCCCCTAAGTTGTATGTATTAGAAACTTGGCCCCCACTGTGACTGTTAAGAGGGTGGGAAATCCTTATGGTAATTGAAAGGTGGAGATTTGAAGAGGTGATTGGATTGTAGGACTGTGCAGTAGTGAATGGATTAAAAATGGTGGTCAGGGGTGTGGTTCTGAGGGCTTTAAAAGAAGAGGAGGGTCTGTCTTTCTCTCTCTCTGCTCTCTCTACTTCTGCCATCTTGCAATCTGAGACCCCAAGTCACTGTCACCACCACCAGATGGACTTTGTACTTCTCAGCCTCAGAAACAATAAGCAATAAATTTCATTTTCTTTATAAATCACCCAGTTCATTGTACTTTGTTATAAGCAACAAAAATGGACTAACACACTTGGAATGTCAATCAGAGAAGCTCCAGCCCGATGTTAAATGGATCTCCTAAAATAAATAAATCACCCAGTTCATTGTACTTTGTTATAAGCAACAAAAATGGACTAACACACTTGGAAAGTCAATCAGAGAAGCTCCAGCCCGATGTTAAATGGATCTCCTAAAATAACATCTTGTAAAACAGTACTGCCCTTATCTGTAGCCACCTACAGACTCATCAGAAAAACTGATTACCTCAGAAAACAATTCCAGAATATTCTCTTCAATTTATATATTATCAGGTTTAAAATGAAGATATTATATTTATATGAATAGTCCAGGGCATAGGAACTTAAAATTTTGAATCCTAAAATCTAATAAGAAATAAGTGATAACTTTATAAATCTAATTATAAGCATATGTCACTCATTCCTGTCTTTTTTTCTAAAAATATCTGAATAAGTAACCATGGGCCCCTCAATATTGGCAACAATAGCTGATTCATGCCCTGTGAGATTTCATATCAGCAAGGGGGTTTGACATTTCTTCTGTCAGCAACATATTTCCCTATAACTGGCCTTCCCTGACCTTATTCCACCTACATTAAGGAATTTAATGACTAGTTTAGGATAGGGCTGGTGGCCCCAGTACCATAGCCACAGAGCATGTTAGTTCCCTGTGATAGTAAAGCTAAAACTGAAGATTTCATCACCTTGTTAGCTTCAGAAAAGTTCAGTCTAGTTGGCTCATGTATAACCCTAACCTCATTTGCTTACCATAAGACAGGAAAAGCCAGGTTGAAGCTACCTACCACACAACTTTGATAATAATCTCAAGATTTCTTAGGCTCATTAAGGACGATCAACCTCATCTTTAAGGTAGAATTCATGGTCATGTTTAGCATCTTACCTAAGGAATTCCAGTCCAAGTATTATTTATTCGCCTTCTGAATATCATAGTGTTAATAAGCATAGAATTCATATCTCCACTTCAGAATTAAAACAAAGGAAGATTTCATGACTGGTGTGCAACATTGAATAATTGGGAATACTTTAGTATTAGTTGCTTTATCCATAAGCAAAGGCAGAATTTCCTGTTTCTTAATTCCCTTACTTATACTTATATAAAATCTTTTATTTCCCCTACAGGTTGTTTGGTTTTTACAAGGGAATTTTGCCACCCATCTTGGCTGAAACACCAAAAAGAGCAGTGAAGGTAGGCATTGCGTTTTTCCCGCCAGGTGAACACAGGGTGCAGTAACAGCGTCAGCATTAAAACATCCCACAACACACTATGTAACGTTAATATGAATTAACATAACACACTAAAAACTTTAATGCAGAAATTATAGCATTTTTTATTATGATTAGACTTGGTCAATCTCTTAAATATGTATATTGGTTTGTAGAATTTTTTTTCAGGTAAAAGCATTCCCTTTTAATGGGGAAATTAAATAAAAAACACAGTGGTGAATAAATTTCATGTGATCAAGCCACAGTAGCCACAAAATAGCTTGGACCCTTTCTCAAAGCAATTCAGAAATTTTCCTTTGGAGCAATAGTTATTAAGGAAAGAGAAAAGAAGAGGAGAGAAATAGAAAAACCTTTTGCCCTAAATCATTCCCATATTATGAACAGAGTGAACGAATATACTATATTTCTTTGTATATGATTCTAGCTTCATTTTCCTCTTCAGTCTCCTCTGTTAAAATTATTTCTTCTAGTTCCTACAAAATTATTACTTCCACTACCCTGATTTCTGTTTCTTTAGCTATATAACTGGGGAGGTTTATGTACCACTTGCTAGTTCAGTATCTGAATACAAATGTGGAGATCTGGCAGAACCTCCAGGGGTGAAAGAGCTAAATCTGACTATGTTTTTATGTGTTCTCTCAGACAAAAGTCCTGATCACAGTGACTCTGACTGGCATGCTCCCCTGCGCCACACCACGGACACCACCAAATATGGCTTTGCCTTTCCATAATAATGATAATGTAAGCTTAGATTTTATGTGTTCTCTCAGACAAAAGTCCTGATCACAGTGACTCTGACTGGCATGCTCCCCTGCCCCACACCACGGACACCACCAAATATGGCTTTGCCTTTCCATAATAATGATAATGTAAGCTTAGACTAAAAGAATTCCTTTCCAACTAATGACATTAAGCTTTTTTTTCACATAATCAATTTGTACTCCCAATGTTCCAAAAAAGCAAGAAGGAACAGCTTACATACTTTTCTTTAGTAAGTCAAGAGGGCGACTGGGTTGAAAATTATGTTTAAAATAACCAACTTATACACAAACACCAAACTTTTACGTTATGTCAAAATGGTAATTTAGTAGGATTTAATTCAGGTCAGGAATTCAGAAAACAAATTTTTAAAACATACTTTCTCTATAAATTTATCTGCTTTGTTACTGTAGTTTTTATGATTTTATATTATTACTTCAATACAAATTTCATTTTAAGGTTCTGAATTGCAGCAGAGAATCTGGAAAAAGTTCACCAAAGTACACAAAAGGGCGGAATTGAATTATGAAATGGCTTCACTTGATAAAAGATTGCCCAAGTAAACAAACAGAGCAGAGTTCCTGTTCAAAAGGAAAGTCACGTTGTCTCCATGGAATAACATATTCATTTGTTCAGTGATTTACGTGTATAAATAAAGTAAATTATAATTAGAGTTTTTCCTGGAATATTTTTCCTTAATACTACATGTTGGAGACAAGCTAAACTTCATAAGCATTAAGGTTTATCAACGTTGAACAATCTTTTACAGAAAAAAAATAGTTGAGCTTTACAAAACTGAGTTAGTCTC